AATTGACAAATAATTTAATAAAAGATTAACGTTAATAAATATTTTAAAATACTGTAAAAATTTTTTTTGAAAAATATCAGCTGGATTCAAGCGTTATTGAGTTTCAAGATCAAAAATTTTTATTTGCGCGTAGTTTATAGAATTGGATTGTATGTATATAAATTCATTGAAATATTGAGCACAAAGCTGAAAGCTCGTATCGAAAAGGCATTTCTTTTCCTAGTTGCATTTTTATATATCTAATTTCGCTAATTGTTGTATTGCTTTTATTAATATTTAAACAAAAAATTGATCTTAAATTATTTAGACTGATCTAGTTTCAGTATTATTATTATTATTAATATTAAAAAAATAACAAAAAAATAATGAATTGTTACTTTTTAAATAACGGTAACAAGTTATTTTAAAAAATTAGTTACATATAGTACCAATTATTACAAAATGCGTATAGAATCATTTCAACCTTTCACATTTCATATGTATAACAATTTTGAAAGAATTTTACAATATATCATAGAAAATATTGCAATAAAAATGTTTCTGAAAACATTTCACACGTAATAAACTTTAAGAGCGTGTACTGTCACTAGATGGATGCAATGGAGTTTTTTCTCAAAATTAAAAAGTGTACAGAATAGAATAAAAGGCGCATGTTAAGATCTTTTATTGTAAGTTTTAATAAGATGATTTCTTGAAGGCGATCTTTCCTTCCCCCAAAATTGGGCTCTAAGACAATTCAAAATGAAAATAAATAAAATATATTTTAAAAATACAATTTTATTTAGCTTTGAGTAAAATTAATTGAGGGATCTGATATTCCTGGGATTTCAAAATTATTAATAATAAAGTCCGCTCGCTTATTTGATAAACAACAGATATAGAAGATAAATCAAAGGCAAGCACATAGAGATGTAAAAATAAATTAATAAATAATACATAATATTAAAATTGGAGAATTTTTTAAGTTAATATTATTTATTAATTTATTTTTACATCTCTATGTGTTCGTCTTAGATCTATCTCGTATATCTATTGCTTTTCAAAATTATTTGAATAAACTTTTAGTAACGTTTCTGATATATTTCAACAACCTTTCGATAAGATTCCAAATGCAAGAATTGTGGACATTTTGCTATTTCAAAACTGCTTCAGAAATGTTACAAACGTAGATATTTTGTTAACATTTCTGGAGCGTATTGTATAGCGCTCACACGTAACAGAACGCATCGCGTCTCGCTCGCACACCGCACAGGCGATGCGAGCGAACGCGAACAATACTTCGGCGGCGTCGCGCAAGCTTCTTCTTCTTCTTCTTCTGATGTAGGCTTCCGTTTCCACCAGAAACGATACAGCCTGTGCTTAAATGGAGTTACTCCAGTAGGTTGGCGGGATCGAGTCAGGTGCACCAACTAAAGTAGAGCAAAGGTCCAGCTAGAGAGTCACAGGGAAATTTCGAGGGATTTAAAATACGTGTAGAGGAGGTGGCAGAACTTAGGGCAGGGATTCTTTAACATAGGAAAAAGATCAATTGCGTACAGGGGAAAGTTCTTTT